AAAATAGGCTTTCAAAAGGTACTAGCTATGAAACACGGAGTTATTTCTTAGACTTTTCTCATGCCAGAAGATGAAAATATTTTTTAAAAAATAGTTGTTTAAGATCAATGCTTCACTATATGAAATCAACAGTTGACTTGGGCCAACCAACTTTAATTTGAATAAAACCTATCAAGAAATTAAATTCATTCATCACCTGTCCTGAGGGTAGCTGGCTCATTACAGAAGAGCACAGAAGTCATGAAAGCCATGCAGAATTTAGTAAAAATCCCTGAAATTCAGGCTACAATGAGAGATTTATCCAAAGAAATGATGAAGGCCGGGATCATAGAAAACATGCTGGATGATACCTTTGAAAGTATGGAAGACCAAGAGGAAATGAAATAAGAGGCAAATGGAGATTGACAAAATTTTATTTGAAATTACAGCTAGAGCCCTGGGTAAAGTGTCTAGTAAAGTCACAGATGCTCTTCCAGAACACGAGACGGAAGGAGCTACAGCACCCGCTGTGGTTGAAGATGAGGAAGAGGAAGATATTGAAGCTATGCAGTCATGGTTAGCTACTCTTTGTCGTTAGCCACAGAACACTATTATAACTTGATTTATTTTGCCATGGGCTGTTCTGCCTTTACAATGTAAAACTCCTTATGAAAAATGTTTCCTGTATATATTCAGATAGATAGATAGATAGATAGATAGATAGATAGATAGATAGATAGATAGATAGATAGATAGATAGATAGATAGACAGACAGACAGACAGACAGACAGATAGATAGATAGATAGATAGACAGATGTAGATTTGCCTTGGGAGATATTTTAAACTTTTTTCTGTCAACCTTTGTCAGCTTTAAACAGCTCTGGTGGAATGGAAAGAAGATGCTATATATGTATACTCAACTAATAAACATTTTGAAAGAGTCTGCAGTTTATGAACTCATCTTCTCAAAGGCATTTTCTGCAGGCTGAAACTACTGCAATACCTAATGTACATTTCTGAAACACTAACTGGATTTTAATAAACAGGTTTTAACACTTTAAAAAAAGAAATGAAATGAAATTCATTCAAAACATAGCAGCCCAAATAGAAACGGAAATTTTGAGAACTGAACACATTGTACCACTTTTTAAGCTACTATTATGGCTTCTAGTGTATTTTGAGGGACAACTAAAATATTAATTTTTTGTGCCTGATCAGAAGGGAGTCCCATTGTGCGCACAGGTAACAAATGGATACATACCTGCTGCACAAATGTCCTAAATATCGCATCAGGCTAGACTGAGGGAACTTTTCCATTTCAAGCTGGCTGATGCATTATTAGGACCAGCTTTAATAGACTTTTGTTTCCTGCCTTTTGTGAGGAGGTGCATGTTTTTGGATGGGATATTTTTGATGATAACATATTGGTTTGGTTCAATGGGTGGGAAGACCTCAAGGAAGTTGAGAGAGGGCATAAGTGGGATTGAAAAATTATGACTGTCATGCACTAAAATTTAGATGCACTGTAGTTGTCTTGCAATACAATGATGTACGAGTATAGGAAAAATGAAATGGCAAACTTTTCTTAGCTATGTATTTATCCTATATTTGTATTTAGAGTGTCAAGGCTTTCAACATTAGTCTGCATATTTTAAACTTTTCTGCAAGTAAATTGTATGAGGAGCCATGCTTTAGTACAGCAGGTTAATCACCAGCCAAAATAAATCTTGCCAATTGAAAGGTTGGCAGTACGAAGCCCGAGTTGGAGGTGAGCATCTGACCTTCAGCCCAGCTCACTGCCCATCTAGCAGATCGAAAACAGCTGTGAGTAGATAAATAGTTACCACTGAAGCAGTGAAGTATTTTAATAGCACTATAAGGAAATACCAGAAAAAATGCTGGAACTGCTAATGGTTTGCAGGCATAGCATTTGTATGCTACACGTAACTGCCATAGGCAGGGTCATGGAACATTATAATTGCAATGAAGGAACTTTGTATTAATTGGAAGCATTTAAAAATCATTTAGTATGTCACTATTTTGGAACCCCCAGTGGCGCAGTGGGTTAAAGCGCTGAGCTGCTGAGCTTGTTGACCGAAAGGTTGCAGGTTCGAATCCGGGGAGTGGCGTGAGCTTCCGCTGTCAGCCCCAGCTTCTGCCAACCTAGCAGTTCAAAAACATGCAAATGTGAGTAGAACAATAGGTACCGCTTTGGGGGGAAGGTAACAGCGCTCCATGCAGTCATACTGGCCACATGACCTTGGAGGTGTCTACAGACAATGCTGGCTCTTTGGCTTAGAAATGGGGAGGTGTCTACAGACAATGCTGGCTCTTTGGCTTAGAAATGGAGATAAGCACCAACCCCCCAGAGTCAAACACGACTGGACTTAATGTCAGGGGAAAACCTTTACCCTTAACCTATGTCACTATTTAATTAAATGTCTCCATATTATTTTAACAGCAGTTACACCAATAGTCAGGCCTTTCAATTTGCCATACACTTCTGTCTGGAATCCTGTAGGTGACATATGTTGACAAGTGTCATTTTAGGATGCAGCAGGAGGATGTTATCCAGCACCTCTTTCTGCAGAACCTTCTGACTCTGCTTGACAGTTCCGGGATGGGCTCCCATGATCAATAGCTGACTGTTGGAGGGCAGAAACCAACTGCAGTTGTGCAGCTGGGAGAAAGGGGCACCCAACACCCTCCAGCGCCACCAGGAAATGCTAGAGCGCCCCCCACCCACCCCCTCCGTGGCCAGAGTCAAGCACAGCATGAAAGATGCTAGAAATAAGATGGGAAAAAGTACCTTTCCCTCTGTTTGTGTTGTCTGTCCTTGTTAATGGTATAATTGTCACTGAATGTTTGCCAAATGTGTGTTCTGTAAGCTGCTCAGAGTCCGCTTTGGGGTGAGAAAGGCAGGGTATATATACTGTGAATAAGTAATAAATAATTCACTCTGCCAGCCCCTAGCTGCCCTTGGAAATGGCTTCCTGACATTGTCAGGTAGAACTCTAGAGGGATGGAAATGGAAGTGTAACAATACTACCAGACAGGCCCGTAGCCAGGATTTCGTTTGGGGGGGGGGCTACATTTTTTTCAGGAGGATTTCGTTTCTGGGGGGGCTGAGTCTGAGTGAAAGAGGGTCTAGCCTAGCAAACCTTTTGTATCATTACCCCAATACCCCCATGCATATGGGATATATTGAGTATGGTGATCAGATCATGATATGAATAAACATAACAGTTTAAATAATGCACCAGTAAGGCCTTTTCGCGAACCACCATGAGAATTTCGGGGGGGGGGGGGGCTGAAGCCCCGCAAGCATTATTGTACTATATCACCTTCTAGCATTATTGTACATCACCTTCTGTTTTCTTTTAAAGCTATTATTGTGACCACTCTTTGTTTCTAATGTTTTATTGTACTTGTGCTTTAGTTTGGATTAGCAAACGTGCTCACCTTTGCAAGGATTAGGGATACTTTTAATTCTCCACTTTACCCAAGTAGAGTTGTCTTTTTCTCTCTTCTTTTTTCTCTTCTTTGCCCCTTCCACCTTTCCTTGTTTCACAGGTTTCTTTTTCCTCCCCACTTCTTGTTCAGACTTCATTGCTACTCATTCTCCTCCTCGCCTTCCTCACCAAGGCAGCATTACCTTTTTTATTCAACTTCTAAAAGAGTTCAAGACTGTGCAAAAGGAAGCGCCATGTGGACTCCCCAACTGTCTTTTAGAAAAATGAATATTCTATATGTCTGACTGTTGCTTTCTCACTGCTGAGTGGAAAAGATTAGAAAGATCTGCCATCTAGTGAGTAAAGGTGATGCTACTGGCAGTGGACATATTTTAACTACTAATTGTCAATCCAATTTGAAAAACAACGTAATTCCAAGGCATACCAATTCATGGCGTGCATCCATATTGTAGGTGGCACTTGAACTGCTGTGGTTCAACCCCCAGTGGCGCAATGGGTTAAATCCTTGGACACTGACAAAAAAAGTCGGTAGTTTGAATCCTGGGAGTGGGGTGAGCTCCTGTCTGTCAGCTACAGCTTTTGAATTCGGACACATGAGAGAAGCCTCCCACAGGATGGTAAAACATTTGGGTGTCCCCTGGGCAATGTCCTTGCAGATGGCCAATTCTCTCACAGCAGAAACGACTTGCAGTTTCTCAAATCGCTACTGACACGAAAAAATGCTGTAGAATCCTGGGAGTTGTAGCTTGGTGAAGCACCAGCACCTTCCAACTAAAAACTACAACCCTGTGATTCCATAGAATTGAGCCATGACAATTAAAGTAGTGTCGAGCTACATTAATTCTACAATTTAGATACACCCTTAGGTCCCCTTAATATCAGTGCCAAGAGATTTGGGCTTTCGTGGTCTTTATGTTAAGTGCAAAAACACATACAAACATTATTATGGACTTATGTGTGTTGCCCTGAGCACTTAGTCTACAGAGTGACTCACAAATGATTGAATAAATAATATAATCTATATTTTCATCAACACAAGGGAGAGTAAACTTAAGTATTAGTCAAAGCAAATGGTCATTTGCTTCTGAAACAGCTCATTAAAACATCAGCTGATTTGTTATCCAATACAAATTAGGGAATTATTTCTGAGGAAATTGCATAGATGACTAATCTCAGTGAAATATTCTCATGCTTATGTAACCATGGAAACAATTTCAAAAGTCTCTCACAATGTACTTTAAAATAAATACTCATAAATTAAGCATTTCATTATACAAATCGTGAAATTGTGAGACTCTGTCTAAGGCCCCTTCCACACAGCTGTATAAAACCCACATTGAACTGGATGAATATATGGCAGTGCGGACTCAGATAATCCAGTTCAAAGCAGATATTGTGGGTTATCTGCCTTGATATTCTGGGATATATGGCAGTGTGGAAGGGCCCTAAGTGGGAAAATGTATTTTTTTTAAAAAAGATACCCTTTAAAATTGATCATAGCCATAGTTCAAATACACACACACAAAGATGAACAGCTCCAAAACAGTTTTACACATCCTGAATATATTTATAATATACAATAATATTTACAGTATATTGAATACATCAAAGAAGAAATTCATAAGACATAGAGTTTAACACTGGTCTCTTAAAACACGCCACACGCGGCATTCAACGAGGAAGCAAACCTGATAAGCTCCTTAAATTTCATACCAGCTTCAGCCAGATGGTAAAAACAATGGGCCCAAACTCACTTAAGACATTATGATAAAAGACAGAGACACCGGGCCCAAACTAGCATCTCCTATTCAAGTAATCATGCGCTGAGTTCCTATACAGTATTCCACATAGACACGGACTTCACTGTGCATGTATCAAAGCGGTTCCCAACAAAGAATTAAATTGAACTAATCTCCCTTATTTCAATTAAATAAATTACATACAAATCCCTTCCAACATTTTTCAATGGCAGTGAGGGTGGGGAAAGAAAACATTTTCAGGTCTATTAATGAATAGGATGCTGCCAGTCTTGGAGATTTATTGTCGAATACTTTCATGGCCGGAATCACTGGGTTGTTGTAGGTTTTTCGGGCTGTATGGTCATGCTCAAGAAGCATTCTCTCCTGATGTTTCGCCTGCATCTATAGCAGGCATCCTCAGAGATTGTGAGGTCTTTTTATTCCCATTCTTAATGGAATAACTAAAGTGGTTGAAATTAATCTCCAACCCAATCCTGGAGATTAGTTTCAACCACTTTAGTTATTCCATTAAGAATGGGAATAAATTTGTTGTAGAAAGGAAAAAAAGCATTCACTTTTTTAAAAACTTGCATAAGTTTTGAGAAACAACATAATAAGAGTTTTAAATGAACAGAAGATTCCAACCTTCACTTTAAATCAGTGTACTTCCAGCATCATGTGCAATAATTGTTTTAAAAAATTATTATATGGAGCTCCTGGTGGTGCAGTTGGTTAAACCGCTGAGCTGTTGAACTTGCTGACTAAAAGTAACCAATTCGAATCCAGGGAGCAGAATGAGCTCCCGCTGTTAGCCCCAGCTTCTGCCAACCTAGCAGTTCGAAAACATGCTAATGTGAGTAGATTAATAGGTAGTGCTCCTGTGGTAAGGTAACAGTGCTCCATGCAGTCATGCCAGCCACATGACCTAGGGGGTGTCTATGGACAATGCCAGCTCTTCAGTTTAAAAATGGAGATGAGCACCAATCTCCAGGGTCAGACATGACTGGACTTAATGTCAGTTGAAAACCTTTACCTTTTATTTATATGTTCTACAAAATATTGGAAACAGTAACAGAGATCCAAAGAACTCCATCAGAGAAGCCGACACACTGTGGGATTTTTCTTGTTAAAAGCAGCCTCAGTGCCACAGTACAAATTCCTCTTAAACCTTCTCTAGATTCAGAAAATGTTTGGCATGCAGCATGCAGACTGCAGTTAAGGAATTGCAAGTTTAAAATTTCCTAAAAATTAATTATACAATCTATTAGGTCCTGGTTGTTTTTCCCCCCTAAGTTAGCATTTTATTCATTTCCACATGCTTATCAATGTGATGTCTTAATATTGCATTTGGTGCATTGTCATAGTAGACTATGCAGACATGGTTTGTATCAATTGCTTAACCAGCTGTAGATTGTAAGATGACTTTCTTACAATCGACTTTCATGTGACTTTCTACCCAAGGCTTGTGGACAATTGGGGGAATTTTGTATGGGAAATATCCAAAAATGGGTGTGGGCAGAGGGCTGAGTCATCAGCTTTTGTTCTTTAAGCACCCTTCCTGTCTTATGCACCAAGTTTTAAAGTTCAATATTAATCTATTCTAAATAGAGAGAAATTTTCTTCTAATGACAACTGTTGCTATGGCAGCACATACTATTTTTTATTGTACTTAATCTTGCAAAGTGGAGCCCCCGGTAGCACAGTGAATTAAACTCCAACAGGTCGGAGGTTCGAATCCGGGGAGAGCGTGGATGAGCTCCCTCTATCAGCTCCAGCTCCCCATGCAGGGACATGAGGGAAGCCTCCCACAAAGATGGTAAAACATCGAAACATCCAGGCGTCCCCAGAGCATTGTCCTTGCTGATGGCCAATTCTCTCACACCAGAAGCGACTTGCAGTTTCTCAAGCCACTCCTGACATGACAAAAAAAAAATTCAGATCAAGGCAGGGGAATCCACTTTCCACTGTTATCTGCCAAGTTTCAGAGTCTTAATGAATCTCTTAGCAACAATATAGCACTGTAAGAACTAGATCCCAAGATTTTCCAGTTTGTTTGCTCACTTCAGATGGAAAGTACATAATCTTGTGGAAGCTGCTAAAAATATTCATTGTAAAGGAATGTTAGAAAATATGTAGATAGTGATCTCATATCACAGGACACAGACCTGGATCTTTCTTAAATGGGAATCAACTATAACACATCGGAGATCAAAAGTGCTAAACATTTTTAAAGCTTAGTGCCTTACAAAACAAAATACAGTGGGGTCTCGATTATTCAACTTTTGCTCATCCAACTTCTGTATTATCCAACACAGTCTGCCTCCCGCCCTGATCCACAGCGGTTTCAATACACTGTGATGTTTTAGTGCTAAATTCGTAAATACAGTAAATACTACATAACGTTACCGTGTATTGAACTGCTTTTTCTGTCGGTTTGTTGTAAAATATGATGTTTTGGTGCTTGATTTGTAAAATCATAATGTAATTTGACATTTAATAGGTTTTTCTTTAATCACTTCTTATTATCCAACATTTTCGCTTATCTAACGTTCTGCTGGTCCATTTAAGTTGTATAAGTGAGACTCTACTGTATGAAGGCCACAATCCTATACTCACTCACTTGGAAATAAAGACCACCCAACCCAAGATATGTATATTTCCCTTAACATCAAATGCTGTCAAGAATTTTAAATTATATAAGTAAATATTGATTTAAATATCATTCCTAGTATCTCATGACTCACTACAGGTCAGTGTGCCCTCAACCAAAATCAAGTCGTACAAAATGCATTTATTTCTCTCTTCCTCTGAGAGAGATTTCTATAATAGAGAAACAGTTAAAAGCAGCAGTTTGAATATTGAAGCACTGTTACAGTGTCATTTGTTCAAATATATTAGTGTAATGATACAGACAGCTAGTAGTATTGTAATTTGTCTGAAAAACTGGTGCTCAGTTCTGTTCCAGGAAGCAAAGAGGATTAACCAATTGCCACAAAATGGTGATAATCTTGCCAAAATGTTTTGATAGTGGATACAACTGAACAAAAACTGTTCTATAAGTATCATTTGAATGCCTGGCAGTACTGAGCAGAGACAGACATTTACTACAGGGTGCTTTTTTCCTATAGGTAATTCAAATTCAAAACATTTCCTGTGCTGCGAGTCAGTTTATTTTTTACCATGAAAGCTAAATGTGCCACCATCACTATTCCATATTATAGAAAAACACAGATTTCTGACATTTTTGTCATTAATCTCCCTTATTTCAATTAAATAAATTACATATAAATCCCTTTGAACCCACAGACACACACCATAAAAATTCAAACAGCAGCGATAATGACAATGGTGATATTAATGAAGTGGAATATAAGCATCATCGTCTTTTAGATCCACTGTTACCATTTGTGGGCTTGTTAAAGCTTCTGCTCATTTGGGGGAAGTGAACAGTTGGGGTTCTTTCCGTTGGACCATACAATCCTAGATTCCTGGCTGCAGCTGATTTCCTAAGTGGCTTGACACTAGGGAAAGGGCTAAAGACTTGAGACTTGGGAGTGCTGACTTGAGGGGATGTTGCCATTGTTTCACTGTCTTTGGGCGAATCCGGCAATTCAGAGGTGTGTGTTTGACAGTAAGGGCTTGGCCTGGAGTCAGTGTCATGTTTGTTGTTTTGGGTAAGTTCCAGTGCTTCCAGCTTCAGCTGAACTGCTGATATATTTGCACTGACATTGGCATCTTTGAATGCTGGTTCAGGAGACTGTCCATCTGCTTTCCTGGTAATCCCAGCATCCGAATCACTTCCTTCTCCATCCACAGATTCCGATTTGCTTGAAGTCTCTTCTTTTGCCCCAATGCTCTTGGCTTTTCCACCTTCACTCTGTTCTTCTATTAGTCCTATAGTATCACCATAGCCCAGCTGGCCTTTGGCTCTTGCCATATTCTTCCGATGTACCCTAATGTGAGTGCGCCAGGGAGAGTTGAGTTTTGTTTTAAGGTCTTCATGGGGACCAGGTGACATCTTGCCTCCTGCATGATTTGGAATGTGAACAATGGCATTTTTGGCAGAACGATTGGTTGGCTTCATCTTCTTTCCTAGCAGAAGATGGTTGATCACTGGAGAATGGTTCACTTGAGAAGGTAGAAGATTGGTAGCTGGCCCTTTATCTGAAGAAAACAAAAATGTCAAAGATAATATTGAAAGGGCTCGCCAACAAAACAAGCATGCTGTCGAAAGAGATCAGACAAATAAGTATAAAGAAAAATATGCCTCTTTTTCAGTGTCTGATGTACAGGTACAACTAATTTGTGCAGATATTGGGACTATTAATGTTGAGCAGATAAACTTGTTATATTCTTCTTTCTTAATACAAAATAATAACCAAGGTTGGGGTTATTGTTGGCTTTTTAGTCAAATATTAATGTGCACAGAATATTTGTCATATCAGGAGCGAACCAAGAGTAAAGTTGTATTTTAAAAAAAAAATCAAATAGAAATAGAGCATTCAGTAATCTGCAAAGCAATAGAATGTGGTTTACTTTACATTTGATTCAGAGCTAAGAAAGCTGAATTACAAATAGGATTAGTTTATCTTAATGGGAAAGAATCTGGGACATTGAAAGTTGCTACATCCTAAAAGAACTGAAAGAACTGGGCATGTTGAGCCTGCAGAAGAGAAGGCTGAGAGGAGATATGTGAAGGGAAGTCATAGGGAAGAGGGAGCAAGCTTGTTTTCTGTTTCCCTATAGAAATAGAAAACAATGGCTTCAAACTACAGGAAAGGAGATTCCACCTGAACATTAGGAAGAACTTCCTAACTGCGAGAGCTGTTCAGCAGTGGAAATTTCTGCCCTGGATTGTGGTGGAGGCTCCTTCTTTGGAGGCTTTGAAACAGAGGCTGGATGGCCATCTGTCGGGGGTGCTTTGAATGCAATTTTCCTGCTTCTTGGCAGGGGGTTGGACTGGATGGCCTGTGAGGTCTCTTTCAGCTCTATGATTCCAATGTTTCATCTAGTTCGCTATTGCCTTTACTGACTGGTAGCAGCTTTCAGAATTGGGTGTTTCTACCAACCGTAACGGAAAATGTTAGCGTTTGAATTCAGGACCTTTTACATGCAAAGCACATGCTCCATTGCCAATATGTAGCTCAGATACATTTAGTTAATCTGACACAATGATCCAAATATATATATTCAAAGCAGCCTGAGAGCCAACTCGGAAGGACCCAATTTCCATTAAGTCAAGTTCTAGTTTGCATTGAGCAATAAAATTTAATTTTTTCAGTGTCTTGGAGCAAATTTGGCAATTCAGAGGTGTGTGTTTGACAGTATGGGCTTGGCCTGTTTTGGGTAAATCCCAGTGGTGCAGTAGCCTGACCTACTTCATAGAGTTCTTGTGAGGATAAAATAGAGAGGAAGAGAGTAACGTATATCACTTTGAGATCTTTGCAAGAAATATAATTCTCCCTCTTGTGTTTTTTCAAAGAGGGAATCAAGATGGAGGAAATGTAAGTAATGCAAACATTCTGCCAGTCACCAACAAAATACTGCCATTTAAAAAATGAATATAATGAATAAATATCCCAAAGGAAACCATAATTGCTTTCAATGCAATGATGCAACAGGTAAGAATAAGACGTTATAAACATAAAGTGATAGATTAATTTGGAAATCAAATACATTAAATCTATTTCAGAAGATAATATAGAAGGAAGAAATTGCTGTTCTTATCTGGGCATTCCCAATGACATTTGGCTCACTCTTCAATTATGCCAATACCATGATGTGTCTTGTTTCTTCCTCATACCACCAACACAAAACTTTTCATAATGAAAAAAACAGGATACAGACTTGTCCATATAGGCTGAATACTTAGCAATTTAACACCATCACCACAAAACCAATTCCAGTAGAACATCCAGCAATAGAGAAAATCAACCAAGAGAGGTAAAAACGAGTTAATATTTGTGAGGAGAAGTTATGGCAATCCTGGGAAATGAAACCCTTCCTCATTTTAATCTTGGCAGAATGGTTGTCTTGCAATTGCAGATTTGATCAACCATCATTTCATGAGATATGTATTTCTTTTGCAAGAAGTAGCACCAAATGCAGAAGTGGTCTATGGCATACTGTTAGGAAGCATGGGCTTTCTCTACTAGTGAAGATATGAAGTGAAGTGTGTGTATGAGTATGCTTGTCTGTACAACAGGCAGTTTTATACCTAAGTTGTTTCAATGCCAATTGTGCATAATTTGCCTATACCTCTAAGACAAAACATGGGCTGGGCAAATAGCAATTTAGAAGGTTATATCACAAATCCAAGGATGCCTTTGATGTTAGTGAAATCAATGAAAGAAAAGCTGTACACCCAAGTTAATATAGATATCTTTAAATACCATTATTCAGCGGGTCCCTGGGATTTAACAATAGCCCAGGGTCTTCATCTTCAGACCCTGACAAAAGAAAAACAAAGGTCACCATCACTTTGTGCTATGATGGTTTCAGTCAAATGAGTTCGTTCTGGTTACTCCTCATTGTTTTCTTCTTTCTTCTTGTTTATATAAGTTAACACACACACACAATTTGGTTCCTTATACATACAGTTCAAGGGTGAGAATCATCTGTCCCTCTGGATGTTGTTGGACTGTTAGTCCCAAAAGCCCTAACCAGATACGACTGGAGATCTGTGCGATTCTCAACCCAAACATACTTAATACCATCTTGCATCTACCTCCTTGCTGTGAAAAACTAACCCAAATAAGCAATTACCTGCTTTGATGTACACCTGATGAACCTGCTGCTGCTGTTTCTTCTTTATTCGGGAATACTGTCTTTTCAGTGCATTGATGTCTGTAGTCATTCGTTCCATCATCATGCTGTTAAAGACTGCATGGTATTCACTTCGACAGGCATCGATTGCTCCAGGACTTAGTTCTGCAATGTTACTAGATCCTAAAGTCTGCTCCTCATTATGTTCTATAGGCAGAAGGAAAAATATGAGAAACCCATCAGAATGTAAACCAATAATGGTATATTTCATCTCAGACAATTCTTAAAGTATCAGTTGATTTAGATATCTTTTACAGATCATACTTTCAATTATATGGCTATTACAGTAATGTATAAATCCTAAAAGTTCTGTAACAGCTGCCCAAAACTAAAATGCATTAAAAATGAACAGTTAATGCCGAGTACAAATCAAAGTGCTGGATTTAGCCTAAAAAGCCCTAAATGGTTTCAGCCCAGCTTACCTGTCCAAACGTATGTCCCTCTATGACCTATCTTTGAGGCTAAGATTGTCAGAGGAGGCCCTGCTCTTGGTCCCACCCTCCTCGCAAGCACGACTGGTGGGGATGAGAGGCGGGGCCTTCTCAGTGGTGGCACCTCATCTATGGAGCTCCCTCCCTTGTGAAATTAGATTGGCCCCCTCCCTCCTGACGTTCAGGAAAAAACTAAAGCCATGGCTGTGGAAACAAGCTTTTGGTCAGTAAGCAGCACAATTTTCTGCATACACTTTTGTGCTAACAATTGATTTGGAAAACTCTCAAAATGTTAGAAAATTTTGTTAAGGGTTTGCCATCACATGCTAGTAGTCTTTGACGACCCCAATCACTTGCATATTGAATATGAAATACCACCTTATTATACTATCAGCAATATCAAATAAAGCAGTGTATGAACTGGAACATTTAATCTCTCCCTCTCTCTGCTATGGGTCACAGAGCTGCACACCCTTTCCTTTGGGTATCTAAATATATGACTGAACCTGTCCAACATTTGTGAGATGTCAATTATGAGTCCATACTGTTATTTTCATCTCAATGTCTCCAAGTCTTCAAATGTTGCTAAGGGATGAACCAGTGGGGGAGGGAGGGGGAGGTTCTCATAGCACTCCCACAGTAAAATCAAAAAGTTTCCAATATTTACCTTTGAATTGCTTTTGATACTTTTGTAGTTCTGGAGCCAAAAACCCACTGAATGGTCCAAGGCAACCAATGACATTAGCTATGGAATCCTCATCATCAAGTTCATTTTCTTCATCACTGTCTTTAACTTTACCAAGCCTCCTGTGAAACAAAAGGATACAGGCTCTATTAATGTGTGAGCACAGTCATAACAAATTGAACAGTTCAACAGAGTCAGATATGTACTCCTATTTGGCCCTGCTTTGGTCAGGTAAATGGCAGGAAACAAAAGACTGTGAATTTGCAAGTCCCCTACTTGGCCTGCCAGGCCCTTTATCCCTCAAGAGAGCAGCACCAGAGTAGGGAACCTTCCTATTCCTAGATATCTTCCCTCACTAGAAGAATGAAGCAAGACCTGGAGGTGAGTGCAGCTGCATCTCCCTCCTCCACAGCTATGAAAGTCTAATTTTGTCTGTCCCCTTTGATGCACCCTCTTCCTCCTTCTTTAGCAGCTAGTCTGCTAAGGAAGCAGCACATTCGACTGTTAAGCTGAAGTTCAGCACTCCCCTTCCTCTTCTCTATGCACAAATACATTTCTCAGGACTATCACATGAATCCCCATGGAAACAAAGAGAGTGGCTTCATTGCCAGAAGGCTTGGGAGGCAAGGTGACAAGAAGTTGCTGGCATCCTTGAAAGCTGTCCATCACCACTCGGAGCTCTTTCTGACTCTGCTACCATCAGGTTGTCTTAGTCTGTCTCTTTTTAAAAGTATGATAGCTATTCCATTTCTCACTTTCCATCTATTTTCAAATTCTCTTCTTTTGCATGCTCCTCTGTCTGCCCACTCAGTCATTCTCCTTCCCTCCTCAGCTGATTGCTCTGCTTCATTCTGGTAAAGGAGAAGAGTTGGGTGCTATTTCCAAGAAAAGCAGCAGTGTTTCAACCCACAGCTGCTTCCATATGGATACTGCTTATACTTCTGGCAACTTGCAGTTTCTCAAGTTGCTCCTGACACGACAAAAAAAAAAATACTGCTGGCAAAGACCTGTCCAAAACCCAACCCTACATACAGAGTGAGCTGGGTTGCCCTCAGAAATCTCCAGTTCAAGGAGTAAAGAACTTATGGCAGCTCCTTTGAAAAGCACTGGTGTTTTGCTGGCCTCTCCTTGGTCACATTTTCCTTTCGAACTGGGCGCCACCTCTACACTAATCTTCTTTTCCAACTGGAGATGAGGAATATCTCCCAGTGAGGCATAATGGGAAGCAACACTTTAGATTCCCACCTCAGGCAGCAGGAAACATTTTGCCATCTCTGAACGTATCTGCTTGGTCTTTTGTTGTTTTACCCTGTTGTCTAAATTACACTACAAGGTTACAGGAAAGAAAGAAGAGACTTACCCAGAATTTGATTTCACTGAAGCAGGAAAAGGAGTGATATTGTACGTGTATTTCTCCCTTAATTCTGCTAGCTGTGGGAAAGGGAACTGGGCCATGGAATAAACAGTCTGAGAAGGGGAAAAAAGAAAGACGGAAGTATGTAAGCATGATGGAAGAAAGGCAAAGCAATTGGTTCAATGTTTACAAAGCTCAGTTTGTGCTAGACCTTTGATGTGTTTCATATGTTTTAATTGTTTGCAAGACTATTTTAATTGATATGTATATCTTTTACAGTTTTATAATATTGTGTTTTACTGATATTGTTATTGTCTGAATCTGGCATTGAAATACTGCCATAGTTTTTAAGCTGCCCTGAGTCCCCCTTCAGGGTGCGAAGGGTGGGGTATAAGTACAGTAAATAAATAATAATAAATAATAAAGAAACATGAATCCAAAGCAGGGCCTTTAAAACAACTTTTCATGGCAAGCTAAAATGCAGGATGGCTGCCGCATAGTTTTAGGATTAGATACTGCATTTCCTGAAAAGAAATATCGAAAGATTTAGCTTTTATAATGCAAGAGGTATTTCCTGCAAGAAAGACAAAGAATGACTCGCATGAAATATAACTGCTGGAACAGCCAGAAATGATAATCGTAGCATTAAAATGAAGAGAATGAATCATACACAGCCACTGCCATTTCTAACCCTGTGCTTTTTATGAAAGAGAGCATGCTATATTTCAATATCAACTCCAATAATGTATTACAGTTGGCCTTCCATTTAAAATGGCAATTAGTTTTAGATTTAGAAAAGATGAATTCAATTTCACTGGGACTAGATGGCATGCAAATGTAAGAATGAAAAGCATTTCAAAAACCAAATTAAGTATTTTTAGTTGTGGTTGATACTGGTGAACAGTGAAGTATAGCAGAGAAAATTCCATCTGTGGGCCAAATCTGGACCCCGCCCCCCTTTTGTGAACCCAAAACCTCATTACATCCCCCCCCCTCAAAAAAAATACCGATAATGTTATTAGCCACACAGAACTTTTTCAGAACAAGAAGAGGCCATTTTAACAACACTCAATGATTAGGAGTCTCTTTTTGTTCACTTCAAGTTTTAAAAATAACATCTCCTGAAACTAAATTGTCTCGGGGAGTCCAAAATTTGGTTTAATTGCCATCTGCATCCATCTGGGAGCAAGAAAATTAGATTTTTTTTAATGGGATCATAAGAGCATATAATAGCCACCAGTAGTCCATAGGACTCACTCTGCCTACCCCTGGCCTTAAATGTAAAAATCAAGTTTGAAATTATCAGTAGACTAATTCAGCAATCTTTTCTGATCTGCCAAAGGGCTCAAGAAGATAAGCTAAGGATCTGCTACTGTCACCCGCAACATCTCCTGCCTGAGGCAGTTGCCTTATTTCTCTTAACAGGCAATGCTGCTACAAACACGGTGGTCCACGCTCTTGTTACATCCCGATTGGATTACTGCAACGCACTCTACGTGGGGTTGCCTTTGAAAACTGCTCGGAAACTCCAGCTAGTCCAGCGAGAGGCAGCCAGGTTGCTCACTGGAGCAGCACACAGGGAGCACACCACCCCCTTGTTGTGTCAGCTTCACTGGCTGCCGATCCAATTCCGAGCACAATTCAAAGTGCTGGTTTTAACCTACAAAACCCTATACGGTTCCAGCCCAGTGTATTTGTCCAAACGGATCTCCCTCTACGTCCCACCTCAGAGTTTAAGATCATCTGGGGAGGCCCTGCTCTCGACCCCGCCTCTATCTCAAGTGAGGCTGGCGGGGACGAGGAGCAGGGTCTTCTCAGTGGTGGCCCCTCACCTATGGAACTCACTCCCCGGGGAGATCAGATCAGCGACCTCCCTTCTGTCGTTCAGAAAAAAACTGAAGACCTGGATTTGGGACCAAGCTTTTGGACATTCTGCCAGCTAAAATAAGGACCCATTGATGAGCAGGAATTATTGGAATGAATGGACATTTCGGAACTCTGAATCACTGTGCATGAAATTGTTTTTATTATATTATGTAGTGATGTGTTTTAATTCTGTTAAATGTTTATACTGTTTTATATATGCTGTATATTTTGACAGGCATCGAATTTGTGCCTTTGTTTGTAAGCCGCCCTGAGTCCCCCCTTGGGGGTGAGAAGGGCGGGGTATAAGTAACTGCAATAAATAAATAATAAACAGTTTCATAAGAATGTTTGTTGCTGGCATTTTCAAGGCCTTTTACCAAAGTACATAATTATGTTTTTTAAAACTCTGTTCTATGTCAGAAGGGACTGAACAGAATACAAGTGTTTTGTGATTTCTCCAGGGAAATTAATAAAAACATGAGGACAAATATATTCTTGCTGTTACTGAATCACAGTCAACCAAGACATTTTGAACATTGTGGGCTTGATAAATATTTAATATTCAAAATAATATTGAGCGATATACTTGGCAGGTTCTCGAATATTGTTTCTGTTCTATGATTCCTGTTGCCTTAAGGAGCAACACTATAGATACTATACACTGAAAACACTATAGATACTATACACAAAGTGGAGTCCACGACATGTGAGTGTGTAGAAGAGCAGACCACCTATAGCAACGCAGTCTGAGCCCTGCCACATGTACAATGGAGGACCTTCTCATAGCAACACCAGAGGTACTCCAAGTAACCAGCTACTGATCAAAGGACATTTAGTAGAATGCCAAGTTTTTAACTTTGTTTGTGTTTTTAAATACATTACAACTGTACCCTCGGTTTGCTTCTGACACGATAAATAAATAAACAAACTGAAATTATATGAAATAGCCTGCTGCTTCTTAAACTGTGGATCCAAATCCCAAATGGGGTCCCTTTAGCACAATATTAAGGTCACTAAAATTTCACAACGGTAAAAGGTTTTTGAATGCCACCCATTTACACAAATCTATTAGCAAGAATTTGCAATGTTTATAGTGGACTCTGCAAAAAAAATGCTTCAGCCATACTCTGCAAAAAAGAAACTCAGACTGTTTAGCAAGCCATGTAACTGCTGATTTATTTTCAGTAAATGTTTGAATTTTAACCTATTTTATATAGCTATACACCTGCAGTCGCATAAAAAGTTCTTAGGCGGAAAGGGGTTGTAAGTGGGAAAAGTTTAAGAAGCCCTAAACTAGCAGATGTTGAGACTTTTTATTGCTCTTATGTGATAAAAAGCAAAAGTGAACAAAAGTCATAAATAATGACATTTGTTTTGCTAAAACTGAACTGATCCCAGATGCAGTCTCTACTGGCTTTAATACAGATATTGATGAAATATCTTTGAATGAATAAATAGTGAATGCACTTGCCCTATACATAAGGCACAAAGGCTGCCACAGAAACAAATCTTCTACTTGCTTGAGTGAAGAAGAGACAAGAGAATCTGAAGATGCACACTAAAAGTCTTGAAACATAAAGTATCCTTTTTTCATTTTGTGTGGCAGCACATCTGCAAGCATAGGAAACAAGGGTTTCCCAAGAGAGGATGCTGCACAAGATTGTAAGACTGGAAATTACAGGCAAAACAGCAGCTACATAGATTCCCCTTTAATGGAGTCTGATGGCATTTATCTGCTTACTTACTATATATTACAACCCATTCCTTGGGGGAAAGAGCTTCAAGGAAACCTGGAAATAATTTACGCTTTTAATGTCAATTGCAAGCTGTTAATGTCAATGGCAAACTGTTCCACACAATGTCTGCTTCTATAAATGAAACAGTTACAGTGCCACTACAATTCTTTCTGTGCTACTGATTTCTTGTGACAGAGAATAGACAGAATTCCTGCTTTCTTTTTCACTGTGTAACTAAGGCCTCCTGGTGGCGCAGCATGTTAAACTGCTGAGCTGCTGAACTTGCTGACCAAAAGGTTGGCGGTTCAACCCCAGGGAGCGGGGTGAGCTCCCGCTGTTAGGTCCCAGCTTCTGCCAACCTAGCAATTCGAAAATATGCAAATGAGAGTAGATCAATAGGTACAGCTTCTGTGGGATGGTAATGGTGCTCCATGCAGTGATGTTGGAGGTGTCTATGAACAATGTTGGCTCTTTGGCTTAGAAATTGAGTACCACCCCTCAGAGTCGAACACACTAGACTTAATGTCAAGGGAAACTTTTACCTTTACCTATGTAATTATATAGAGAAATGTATTCGTTTTCCATAATATCTTAAAAATTCCATATTCTTTAAAGGAATGCACTTATCAAAAGAAGCAACCAAGCACAAATAGACTTGATTGTGTTAATATTTAAGGGCCAATATTTTAAATGTATTTTTATTGCTTTTAAATGAATTTTTATTGCTTTTTAAAAGTATTTTTATTGCTGTTGATTTGTTTATGTGAATTGTTGTGCTCTAACTGTTTCTTTGTCAGCATCTAATGACTGCCAGTTTGTAAGCCGTCCTGAGTCCCCTTCGGGGGTTGAGAAGGTCAGGATACAAATGCTCTATATAAAGAAATAATAAATAAATAATAGGCCCTTTATCTGAAGAAACCAACCAGATGAACACTACCAATATTCAAAGGACACAGCATATCCTTCTGTTCTCTGCATCAAGTCCACATTTGTGACTAACTAAGATCAGCACGGTCTTTCATCCATAGATTGTGGCCTACCATGGGCTTACAAAAGCTCTCCTTTTTGTAATCCTGGACAGACAATAAAAACGGGAGGTTACTTACATGCACAACCCCCCCCCCCCCCACACACACACACACACACTTAAAAGTAAGTTTTTCCAAATCTGGAGAAGTTTCCAGGTTCTGGGAAAGCTGTATCTTTTTTTTCCATTTCTGTCCTATGTAAAATGGGTCAACTTTATTGTGACTAATACCATATCTTGACTTCACACATCAAACCAACCACTGAAATGTAATTCATAACAGAGTAGGCAGCAGTTTAAGGCTGACATTCATCACCGCCATTTCAGTATACAAACTGACATTTGAGGAATTGTAAAATCCTATTTCAAGACAAACGTGGGCAGCAACCTCATATTATTTTAAAAGCACAATAGAGGTGCATTATTCATAAGGTTCCTTCCCTGCCTTTAATGTTCTTGCCAAAGTTGGATAGAAAGCAGGCTCCACAAGGATGAATTATACTACTAATAACACCATGCTTCAATAAAATATGAGAGAACACTTGAGAACTTCTGTAAGGTTTCTAAAAACACTATTTCAAACAAAATAAGCTACTTATCCCAAAATAAACCTTTCTTCCATCTGAGTATAATATGATCTACAGGTCTACTGGAGTTGTTTAAGATTCATTACAGTAGTATTTCTGGTTCCTGTGTATCATTGTGAAAGCTGAACAGTGAAGAAAGTTGACCAAAAAAGAATCAGCTCATTGGAAATGTCTACAGATATCATGGACTTCAAAAAAGACAAAGAAGTGGGTGCTAGACCAAAACAATTATGAAATTTCCCTAGAAGCTAGAATGACCAAATTGAGGCTATCATACTTTGGCCATATTTTGAGATGTCTCAACACATTTTTTTATCAACTTTTGAAAACTCATTAATGATTGGTAAGGGTCAACAAGAAAAGAGGGAGTCCTTAGTTTAGAGATCCTGTGGAAATCTCTCATTCATAGGGTCATCACAAGTCAAAGTCAACCTGATGACAATAATAACAATCACAGCTTTTTCAGATATATTTGACAGATGACAGAAGTTGAACCCAAACCGACTGGAAAGCAAATCATGTACTCTACCATTAAACTATAAACTACATTAAATTACAGTCTTTCTCCATGATAATTTTTTTATATTGGGGGAACCTTATCTCTACGTGGACTAAGAATATCCCACTAAAATTTTACATTTGTATAAACACTATTATATACACCAACCTGCATGAGTTCATTGCTGTCAATAAGGCTGTCTTCCAGCATCTCTTGAGTTAACTTGCCCATAGTGCCGTAGAAGTCATCTGCAGTTTCACAACAGTCTATCTGCCTGCATCATAATAAAGATGCTTACGTTATCTAAACATCATGTTATTATCTGAATATACAGCACATTAACTACTCTGGGAATCAAAGTAAATTCAGGTGTCAATATTAATGCACGCATTTCATAAACAGCTTGATCCAGAGAACAAGATAGTGTATGCTTCAGCAAAGGGTTAAACCCTTGTGCCAGCAGAACTTGTGCCAGCAGCCAACTCTCTCACACCAGAAGCGACTTGCAGTTTTTCAAGTCACTCCTAACACACAAAGAAAAACATAGAAATAATACTGATATTTCCTAAAGTTTCCATTGCCCAGGTGTCCCCTGGGCAATGTCCTTGCGGACGACTGCCAGTTCTCTCACACCAGAAACAACTTGCAGTTTCTCAAGTCACTCCTGACACGAAAAAAGCAGCACAATATACTTGTCTCTCCACATTTGTAGTTTTTACTTTTGCAGATTTGATTATGTATGGATTTGATGAAAATGTCATCTCGGGGGAATCTGGTGTAGCTCAATGGTCAACTTCCTCCAGTCATATTTGAAGACTTAAGAGATTTCTAATGAGAACATCTTCCCAGACCCTCCAATGCGATTTTATGGTCAGCTTCCAGCAGAAGTTAACCATTGAGCCATGCTGGAAGACCTAGAAATTGCTAGATAGATATTATCTCAGGTAAAAAATAGGAATTTATTTAATCAATGTATTGTCAATTTTTCACTTCCACAGGTGTCCTGTGCCCATAATCCCAGCAGATGTGTAGGGCTGATTATACATAATTTCCAAGAGAAGGGTAATCTGACCAAATATTCTTAGGATCTTCTGCTGTTTCCATGACCCAAATATCAACTGCAGAACTCTGATCAATAAAATGGGCTGCAAATGTTACCAAATGTTTGATAGGACCAAAACCTTATGTGGGAGAAGGAAATGATTCATCCTTTTCCACATTCAGTGACATCTATAACGCCCATGGAGCCTGCTGCTATTTTCATGAAATGTTGTTTATTCTCTTCATCAAAAAGGAAGCATCTCTTATCAAGTGGTATACAAGTAAGTGGATTTCACAAACATCACTGGGAAACCTCAAAAGGAGAGATTTTCAACCATTCCTTTAAAAGAAAAATTACTTCAGAAATATAGATTTTGAAAAGTGTCATTTAATATTTATATATGTAGCCCCAATTTAGAAAAGAAAAACCCTTGGCTTCTGTAATCATGAAGCTTTTAACTGCCACAGAAGAATTATTATTTTCCACCTCTTTTAAATCTTATTTCCCCCCTTCAATAGCATTTGATTAATTTTTAAAAAGCTGAACTGTTTAGGGCAAAAGAAAGAACAGATAAGTAGTAATTTAAGACATCAAATCACACACTCTGAAGGAATAAATGTTATAATAACTTGCACATTTTGGATGAATTCACTATTTCTGATGGCTTGATAATCCTACTTTAGCATGCTTTTCTAAAGGTAAGCAATAGTTTGGCTTAGTCTTTCTTAAAATAAATAGCAATAATTCCCAGAATTTTATATTAATTATGGAAATGTATATTTGGCATGCTCCTGTCTTTTGGGTGATACCGTCGATTGGATGCATAAATTTAAATGAGTGTTTTCAAAAAGGATCATGATACATATTGCTCATCTGGTTTCCAGCAAAATACATTTTAAAAGACATATTTTGAAACCTTTAAAAATAAAAACATGTTTTTCTTTTCAAAAGAATGAAAATGAATGTGTACATATGGCAAACAATTCCTTAAAACGTTGTGTTTCCTTGATAAACTAGTTTTCTTTGTAAATAAAGAATTAAAAATCTTCTTCACAATACAGTTGTGCATATTATTATGTTCTGGTTTGATAATGACAAGTTTAATTATATCAAATATAAAGCAGTGGATTCTATTTTTCCAACAGATTTATATGAACAATGATCTCAAATATCTGCATTAATGACTCACTATATGAGATTTCAGATGTGGCTGAAAATTTAGCTTATGGTTACCCTGGAAACCAGTGATGCTAACTTGCTAACTGAAGAAGACCTGCATCTTTTGTTCTTAATGTAACTAGAAAAAGAAATGGTAGTTCAAACCATCTTCATTTTTAAAAATAGACTTATATAGAAGGATTTTTTTTAGAAAGCATACCATATTCCCCACAAAAGATTGAAATTTTTCTTAAAGCCCTTGCTGCACATTTTTAAAATCAAATGTTCTGGAAATGAAAAAGCATGTATATTTTTACTTTACTAGAAAAAGTCTCTTTAATGAGCAGATTGTTTCCTACGCTTTCTTTAAGGACTGCAAAGACAGTGTAAACACTGTGGTTTAGTGGCCGTCTGGATATTGTGACTTTCTAGTACAGTGGTTCTCAACCTATGGGTCCCCAGGTGTTTTGGCCTACAACTCCCAGAAATTCCAGCCAGTTTACCATCTGTTAGGATTTCTGGGAGTTGAAGGTCAAAACATTTGGGTGCCCACAGGTTGAGAACCACTGTTCTAGAAGTTGTTAGACTCCAACTGCCATGGTCCCAACCAAAATGACTAACGATCAGTTGAAAACCAATATTTAGAGGAGTGTCTAATTTCTTGGCTTCCCTGAGCCACATTGAAAGAAGAAGAACTGTCTTGGATCACACAGAAAATACAATAACACTAATGATAGCTGATGAGCAACATTGCGGATAATGCTCTGATATATGTGGAAATAAAGTACATTTAATATTCCATTATGTTTTGTGGTTATCTACAATGTTCATGCTCAAGAACCTCATAATTGAGTTACCAAAAAAACCCACCAATCAAAGATTTAATAATGTTTTAAGTAAGTTTATGATTTTGTTTTGGGCCACATTGGTAGCTTCTCCTGGACTGTATGCGGCCAACGAGTCATGGGTTGGATAACCCTGATCCAGTGTGTCCCAAATTGCCCACTACAGTTATTTAAAAAACACGATCCCAATATACATACACTGTAAAAGTCTCTGTTCCAGTAGTGTTGTATTATACAAATTAATTCATTATCCTTATCCACTGAGAAGATAAGGACTGGTAAATCTCTCAACAGAAAGCTTTCCCCCTCTAATTTAGATTAAGAAAAAAGAATATAGGGTGGGAGGAGGCTTACAAGCTTAGTTCTGGTACTAATCTTAAAGCAGACTAATCCTGTTCTTTGATACTTAATATATGTCTTTTTGTTCCTCCTCTTAGCTTGTGAACCCCAAGGTTCTAGGTTTTTAGTGATGAGCAAAGTAGATGCCAAAAAATTGAAGCCTGTGTTATAAACAATGAACTGTCTTCTGTACATCCTAGATCAGGCATGGGCAAACTAAGACCCGTGGGCCGGATGCAGCCCCTTGGGCTCTTTCCTCTGGGCCCAGTCCTGTAGCCAGTCATGTGTCACATCCTCCTCTCAGCAGGAGGAAACAGAGAGCCATCACAGTCTCCTGCCGACAGGGGAGCCCTCCCAGTCACACTCTTCCTGGAAGGAGGATGCAGCTGACTGCCAAGACGAGGGCCCTTAAAGCACATGTGGCTGTGCAGGGCTCTTCTGAGGAATCTCTTGGTCCTCCAGTGAGAATCTATGGTCATCTTTTGCTGGATGACTGATCCTTAATTGGTTCTGGGAACCTAGAGATTTATAGAGAGAACATATCTCTAGAATTGCCCATGTGCTCCAGTAGAACTCTATGACCAATGTCTGGTGAAAGTAGACTGGAGTTGCATTGGAGTACCAACACCTCTAACCTCAGCAAATGGGGAGGACTGACTGGCTATATAAGGAATCGTTTTAAATATCAGGCAAAGGTTTCAGTCTCAACCACAGCAACTGCTTCCTCCTTCAGCAACTCAAAAGCATCTAACATAGTGGGAGCACTGCACTGAGTTGGTAAAACAGAGAAGAGCTTTATGCTTTGAGGAACAGGGTATCATATAAAGATGAACAGATGTTATTTTTTAGCATCTCATTATTATGCCACAAAGTTCTTTCAAGTAGACTCAACTTTCATTTAGGCATCTACTTACTCTCCCAACTTTGCCCATATAGCCAAGGCAACTCGCAATATAATTTCTGACCCTTCAAAGAACACAGAATCCCAAATTTTTAGAACTGTATGATTAGGAAGACATGTTGCGAAGAGAGTAAGGAACCATTGCATAGTGAAGACATTTGTGAGAGGAGGTTCATAGCCACCTGTAACAGAAGAGAAGGAATAGCATTGTTCATTATTTGCATTCTCTGAAGTTGTTTGCCTTAACACAATATGTGGAGATAGAAAGCAGGTACATACAATATGGTAGCATAGGATATAATTGTATTTCTTTTGATGAAGGAATCAAATAGCAATGGTTAACATGGTAGTAATGCTCCTCTACAACCGAAGTGGGCAACTTCTGTGAGACATTGGGCCATTTTTTGCAGTCCTCCAAATTTGACAGGTCACATCTTCCCTTTAAAAAAGAACATTATTCCCCCACCCTCACTCCCACAATGGCAAAAAAAGGTCAAAGTCATTCAAAGGTTAACTTGGCGGAGGGGGTTAAGGTGGCTTCAAAAAACAAAAATAGGCCAAACTTAATGGAATTAGCCTCTTGGTGTACGGAGTAATCATATTCATATCAATATAAACAACAAGAGATATCAACAAGCCTTCCTGAATCCAGATCTAACGAAGTCAAAATGTTATCGGATTTAAAGCGCATACATTTATTTATCTCAAATAGTTTTAGATTAATGGTTCTCAATCTGTGGGTCCCCAGGTGTTTTGGCCTACAATTCCCAGAAATCCCAGCCAGTTTACCAGCTGTTAGGATTTCTGGGAGTTTAAGGCCATAATAATAATAATAATAATAATAATAATTCTTTATTTATATTCCAAAACATCTGGGGACGCACAGGTTGAGAACCACAGTTTTAGATTGTTATTCAACAGCTGTTGAAGTTCAATATTTCATAAATAGATACCTTCAAAAAAGAAAGAAATTGAAGTAGTATGATTACATCTATGGCCATCTGTTCCCTTTTCCTATAAGGTTTTTAAGTTTGACTCTAATTGGATTTTGTTTGTTTGTTCCATTTCTATTGATTGTGGTGCTCTGGAATGCAAACCCAAGCTCATTTAAGGTATTAACAGAAACCACATCTTCTCCAATTGAAAAAGGAATATGCATTTGTCATAGAAATGAGATCTGCTGAGCACAAATATCTTCTACAAACAAGATACTTTTGGGAAAGAAAAGAAAAAGAAGGAAGAACTACAACCAATGCAGCATGAGAGAGATTATGCAGGAAAGCTATGAATGCATATGTTAACACGCACTTATCAAAAACTCCTAACAAGAGCTGGAAAAACTTATGTTTTGGGGCTACAACTCCTAAATCCTCCAGCCATGCATTCAGGGGGAACCTGAAGTTCTAATCTTTAAAAAGTAACATTTTCCAGCTTTGTTTTTGTGTTTGACACTCTAGGAAAATCGCAGGGCCTTAGAAATTCTTCAATACAATAAAATAGTTAGCTCTCTATCACCCTAGAAGTTTTAGCCCCACAATCAGATGTATTATAAATACAATATTTTCAAGGTAACAAAAATAATTTGAAACATTACATAGAAATACTGAAATGAAGACATTAGTATGTTTCTACCTCCGCTTTCCCTATTGGCAGCTCTCTGCAGAGTATCCAAATGCTGGGAAAGCTCAGGGAGTTTCATTCTCAGAAGGTCTCGGAACACAGCCATGTCAACACTTAGTGCTCGAAGGTTATTGACAAAGTAACTATCAGGAAGCACTTTATCAATTAAGTAGATCATGATCTGGAAGGAAAGTAGGAAATACTTGATATTAGTTCTCAGACTGATAACAAGACTGAGGACAAATTAGATTTTTAAAGGACTAGTTGTCTTTTCATTTGTATAACTACAAACCATAGCATTAAGATATTTATTTAGTTCCAAAGTTAAAAAGAAAACCACAACAAAATCTAGATTCTTATTTCCAACAAAAAATAGCATTCTTGCATAAAAAGACTGCATACTGCATGCTTAAGAGAATTAATCATCTCCGTTATAAGTCATCAAAAAGCACATATGGATAAAGGTAACTTGTCAGTAATTTTACTCACTTTTAATGCATCTCCCTCATTGCCTTCCATGACTTCCAGTATGAGAGCAGCTAGGATGTTAAAACCTTGACAATAGCCTACAGATTTGTTCCACCTGGCATAGGCTAGTAAGACCCTTTTTAATACTACTCTGTCTTGCTCTGCCTCCTGGCCACAGTAAGAACTACACCCAGTTCGATGAAGATCCTAAGGAGAGCAAAAAGAAAGACAAGGGACATGCACTTCCATGATGATCATAGACTGTTAAATGCACACATGCACCACAATTTTGACGTAATTTTTTGTAGCAAACTGATTTTGCACTATGAAGTAAAATGGCATATTTAAATACAAAAGATCATTTGGGGTATTTTACTGATATAACTCATTTCTGCAATAGCTGTACTTTTTACATGCTTGAGAAAGGAAGTGTCCAGTGTTCTCTTACACAGCCAGCTATTGTTGTTGTTGTTGTTGTTATCATTATCATTATCATTATCATTATTTCTATTCCACCTTTCTCCCCACAGGGACTCAAGGTGGGTAATTACTTAGACAATCCCTTATTGTCCGAGTATGATGGCCTTCCAAGTGTAGTGTCAGGGTTGGCTTGACGCGCCTTCCTCTTGATGCATTTCTCTTTTTTCCTCCATTTGTGCCTCTTCAAATTCCGCAGCACTGCTGGTTACAGCTGACCTCCAGTTAGAGCGTTTAAGGGCCAGGTCTTCCTAGTTCTTGGTGTCTATGCCACAGTTTTTAAGGTTGGCTTTAAGCCTATCTTTAAATCTCTTTTCCTGTCCACCAGCATTCATTTTTCCATTCTTGAGTTGGGAGTATAGTAACTGCTTTGGGAGACAGTGATTGGGCATTCGGACTATGTGGCCAGTCCAGTGGACTTGATGGTGTAAGAGCATCACTTCAGTGTTGGTGGTCTTTGTTTCTTCCAGCATGCTGACATTTGTCTGCCTGTCTTCCCAAGAGATTGGCAAGATTTTTTAGAGGCAATGCTGATGAAATCGTTCCAGGAGTTGAGTGTGACGTCTGCAGACAGTCCACAGGCATATTAACAGGATTGGGAGGACAATAGCTTTATACACAAGCACCTTGGTATCACGTTCCAAGAGTTGAATGTGATGTCAATAGACAGTCCACGTTTTGCAGGCGTATAACAGGGTTGGGAGGACCGTAGCTTTATAAACAAACATCTAAGTGTCCCGATCTTCAAACACTCTCTGCTTAATTCAGAAAAATGCTATACTCGCAGAGCTCAGGCTGTGTTGTATTTTGGTGTCAATATTGACTTTTGTGGAGAAGTGGTTGCCAAGGTAGTGGAAATGGTCAACATTTTCTAATGTTACACCAATTATGTTAATAAGAACATGACAAAACCCAATAAAATTTTAAAACAAGGCAAATACAAAAAATTAAAAATAATTCAATATTTATGTCACGGGTATACAGTTAAAATACAATAAAATACCATTAAAATTACATTTAAAGCCCTCACAAGATTATCATACATTTAGAAACTATTCTTTCATTCACACTGTAAAGGACCAACCAGTTTGAGGAGCAAGTACTCTCTTTGCTCTGAAAATATGGACTAGTCACTAGAATGGACCCTGAATTTTACTAGCATCATGTTTTACCTTTCCAAAGATAAGCTCAGCAAAGCTTACAAATCATAAGAAACAATTACATTAAGCCTTCCATTTTCTACATCCAAGACTTGAAAATATTCCAAAATAAAATTTCCAAAAACCAAAACATTGATTTTGTCATTTTATATAAGGGACATCCTTTTACTATGGCACTGCATATATTGGGCCTTGAGTATCCACAGATTTTGGTATCAGGGAGCAGGGGGTGTCCTGGAACCAAACCCCAACAGATGCCAAGGGCCCATTGTATAACCAATGAGTACACAATGATATAAAAATAAGAATCATTATATAGTAAGGGATGTTTCCACGTCTATACAGGCAGAGTAATAAACACAGGCGCGTTTCAATCAATTCCCCCACTCCCTGTTTTATTATAAGAAAACAGAATTGAGGTGGGGAACCAAACTGATAATTTCTTTTTATCTCCCAGGAGTTATATTGCTTTGGAGGTTATAAACCATTAGTGGGCAAGAGGTACAACAAATGCAATATTAATTTTTAATATGGCACAGTACAAACAAGATCTATAATTCAGGGCTGCCAATTAAGACCAGTCTTTCCGTATAGAATATTCAGGCAGATGCACAGCCTCATTGCTCCTAATATAAAACTAGGTCACCTTTCTCACCATATGGTATGAGTGTCTATTTTGCTCTGGTTTATTTCTATCTGTGGTGGGGCTTCATGTAGTGGAATATTCTTCTACGGTTTTCCATTCCTGCCTCTAGAAAATGAATGTGTCTGGGAGAATGGCTTTAGCCTTCATTTCTATTCTAGTTTTCAGAATAGGGGAACACGTGCAGTAGAAAAGCATACAGTCTGGGTCCAGGCTTTCCTGCTAATTGAAAACAAGGCCTCAGGTACAGACAGTTTTTTTTATATCAAATAGAGGTACATCAAGCAGCAATATGTATAGAAGCCTTTATATTCAGTGTTTGTTGTTAACTACCTTCAATCCCTTGAACGAGAGGCCTCAAGGCCATGTTCAGGTCTTGCAAACTCAGGACTATTGCTTTCCTGATTGGAGTCTATCCACCTGTACTGTGGCATTCCTCATTTCATACTGCTCTCCATTTTAGCAAGCATTATTGTCTTTTCTAGTGAGTCATCTATTATCATGATATAGCCAAAGTATGACAGCCTCAGGTTAGTCATCTTCACTTCATTAGGCTTAACTTAGGACCCATTAACTTGTATTTTTAACAACCTATGGCATCCATTGAACTCTTCACCCTCATCTTAAGTAAAGCTGGATCTACACTACCTTATATCCCAGAATCCAATTCCAGTTTATCTGCTTTGAACTGGATTATGTAAGTCTCCACTGCTGTATAATCTGGGATAAGCAGATCATGGGATACAGGGCAGTGTAGAAGGGGCCTAGGTTGATTTTTTTCCTATCAGCTTTTTTCACTGTCCACTTTATGTGGGATTATTTAAAGGGTGCTGGTTTTCAAAACAAGTAAGAGATAATATGTGCTATAGCTCTTAGAATTAGAAAGGACCTCAAATGCAGGACACACCTTATATACTCCAGGTTAATGCACCTGTGTTTGAATTAGATAGCCAAAAATGTAATGTGCAAAAAATTCAACTGCCTCATTTATGAAAAAGGATAGTTGGGAACAGTGTAAGGCTGTAGAAGGAGCTAGGATTCCTCTCACTTGTTGGCCCTTCCACTGCTTGCCTTGGTCAAGTAAGAGAAAGCCAAGCTCCCTTTGCCTGCACATTACATTAGGCAACATTTTTTGTAATGCTCTCCTCAAAATTGAGGTGTGCATTAAATTTGATGGCGCACAATAATCGATGGCACACACAACTCAAATAAATATGGTAACTACAGTATCTCTGACATATGTCTGTTCTGCTTCTACTGTAGTACATTCAGGAACAGCGAGCAGCCCACCATCACCTCAAATGGGCGGTTCCATGGTCAACCAGCTCTTAATATGAGGATTTTTCCCTAGTGATTTGTTTCTGTGTAATCTCCAACCTTGCTTATATTTATGCCCTTTGAAGCAGCAGAGAACATCTAGGAATGAGCATATTGCATGTGTATCAAAGTCATTCCACTGGTTGCCAAGTAGTTTCCAGGCAACGTGTTAGTTTTGACTTACATAGTTGGGGTCTAGGTTACCTACAGGATTACCTCCCATATAATCTGCCCCTTAGGACACTGAGATTTTCTGGTAGGTGGCTTCTCTAGCCAGCCACAACTCAATTGGCTTCTAGGGAGAGTTCTTTTTGTTACCTTTTCATTGGCCACCCCACAAATGTGGAATGACCCATCAGAAGAAAATCAGCAGCCAAATGAACTGTCAGAATTAGACACAACTGAAGACCTGTCTCTTCTGGCAGCCCTACCAAGTCAGTTTTTTAAGTCCTACCAAGTCAGTCCTATATTTTAATCTTTGTTCTGTATATTTTAATAAATGTATTTTATTGAATGTTTTAATGATCACATGTTTTTAACTTATGTTTTGCCTTGTTTGGAACCATGAGGAGAGGTAGAGAAGAAATAATATTTTAAATTTCTATTATTGTTGTTGTTATTATTATTGGGTTGTTGTAGGTTTTTCCGGGCTATTATTATTATTATTATTATTATTATTATTATTATTATTATTATTATTTCCCCCTGGATGTGAATTTGTATTTAGAAGCAACACATAGCACAGCATTGTCCTCCAAAAATGTTTGTGCTGCATTTTCTATTTATCTTCCTACATATTAACAGGTGATTTACATTCTGTGTATGCTATCTCATTGGACACACTAAGGAATCTAAAACTGAGTTCACTACTGAAAGAAACAAAAGTAAATGAATTGATTATTCGCATGAATGACAAAATTAAGATTGAACAGCTATAATACAGTTATGAGAAATTTCAGCATTGGACGAAAGAGTAATATTTCCTGATCAATGGGTAATATCAATATAACTTTTAGTAGCCAAGCAGCAATGTTATATTGGCTATATGACTAAAAAGAATTCAGTAAGCAAATTAATAAACTTTGGACTACCTTTACAATCTGAATTCCCATGGAGTCATCATCAGGATTGCTTCTGTCATTGAAAGTGAAGCGCATAGTTTTGTCCCAGTCGATTGCTATACTCCTCAAGTAGTGATCTGCCAAGGTGAGCCAGACCTTAAAAGAGATGTCCACACAACATAAATTATTTACATCATTTAAATAGAAACGATATACATAAATATATGCAAAAAAAATCTGCAGGTTTAATAAATTGCTATAGCAATCCCATGCATTATATATATATGTAAGTTTTGTTCATCGTAATACATAATGGTTGAAACAGAAGAGGAGAAAATGAAGCACCTGGAAGTCTGACTCTACGTTTAGGGTAAGCACAGGATAAGCTTAAAGTGGGTTTCCTAGCATATTTCAATTAATATATTTAGAAACATCTCTGTAATCATCAAGAGCTTTCCAAACAGTGTGTCAGCTGCAGTGTGTAGGTGTGTCACATGAATGTAACAAGAAATGACAAAAAAAAAACTTGGAAACATATGTTATCTTACAAATGATATATTTTTAAAAACCAAATGAGATATGTTGTGTCAACATAAATTTCATTATTAAAATGTGTGTATGTTTACGTATCTCTTATAAGGGGTTGTTTTAGCCTTCAGTTTGCTAGTAAAAGTGTCGTGAAATGATGCATGTATAAAAAGTGTGTCACCAATCTGAAATGTTTGGAAAGTTCTGATCTAGGCCCTTTTAGGTGTACCCAGATGAACATGCTTACAAATCCTCTTTGAAATTTACACCAAGTACACAATAACCTAAAGAGAAACCTTCCCGTATGGAGACACAGTAGATGTTTGCACCACAGTTTCAGGTCTCATGGGCATAGAAACATAGTTGCACATTATTGGTGCCTAAAACATCAAAGTGTGGGCAAACTGTTCAGTTACAAAACTCTTCATTTTCTTGTCTTTATCTGTCTAACCCACAGTTGACTTTCAATGAAAAAAACGTCATCTCCAATAATTGCAAAAGACTAAGGTTTGGATAGAAGACATACAAATTATTATTTTGAGATTTATAATCTCCCAGTAGAGGTTACTCAAAAGCAGCATTTCTCAACCTGGAAGTCGCAAGGGGATATCAGAAGGGTCACCAAAGGCGATCAGAAAACATTTTCTGTAGGTCATGGGGGTTTTGTGTGGGAAGTTTGGCTCAATTCTATCACTGGCAGGGTTCAGAATGCTCTTTGATTGTAGGTGAACTATAAATCCCAGCAACTACAACTCTCAAATATCAAGATCTATTTTCCGCAAACTCCACCAGTGGTCGCATTTGGGCATATTGAGTATTCGTGCCAAGTTTGGTCCAGATTCATCACTGTTTGAGTCCACAGTGCTCTCTGGATATAGATGAACTACAACTCTAAAGGTCAATGACCAGCAAACCCTTCCAGTATTTTCTGTTGGTCATGTGTGCTATGTTTGGTTCAATTCCATCGTTAGTGGGGTTAAGAATGCTCTTTGACTGTAGCCAAACTATAAATCTCAGCAACTACAACTCCAAATAACAAAATCAACCCACCCCCGCAAACCCTTCCAGTATTCACATTTGGACATATCAGGAATTTGTGCCGAATTTGTTCAAGTGAGCAAAAATCCATCCTGCATATCAGATATTTAAATTACTATTCATAACAGTAGCAAAATTACAGTTATGAAGTAGCAAAAATAATTTTATGTTTGGGGGTCACCACAACCTGAGGAACTGTATTAAGGAACTGTATTAAGGGTTTGCCACATTAGAAAGGCTGAGAACCTCTGTTCTAAAGCAATAACTCTGTTTAATTGGACATTAATAGTCAACACGGTGCATTCTCTCGACTAAAGACCTGGTCTGCTGGATTCACAGTCAACAGCAACTGAGTTTATACCATCAATGTTCTGTAGACATTAGCTGGGCTCTTGTAAAAAGCTGCTTTTCATTTTGCACTACTGCATTCAGATGAAAATAGTCATTATGAAATTATTGTAGATTCACTCTTAAAGTCAGCAGGAAGCACTTACATTAAAACTGGGGGGGGGGGAGAATATCTGAGAGATAAAGCTATGTGCATTTAAATCCATACACGGACTATGTTCTACCTACCTTTCTCCTCCACTCCTTTGGTATTCCTGTTGGCAATCTAGCCACTGCTTTAAGAGCATCGTGCCACTGAAAGCAAACACCCAGAGACTGTTACATTATTCCAGTTCAGAAAAACAGTTTCACAGACATATTTTAGTAGAGTATAATATCAATTTACCATAAACTATTTTAAGATGAAGTACTCTTACACCATGTAACCTTGCCACATTACATGTGCAGAGCAGGGAGAGAAGAAAAAATAGCTTGCTGGCCAATATACCATTGTATATATATATATATAAAGATCTGTTTCACTGAAAGACATACTTGAATAATTTTAGCTGCCCAGTCATACAGAATTTGCTGTTCTAATAAAGAAGCAGAAAACAGGATTTCCAAAGAAAACTGCTGGAGCAATGAATAAAGGTTCATCAGGATAACATAATTCATTTCTGCCCTGTACACCAATGTAGATTTGATAGAGGTGTTTTAAGGAGTTTCAATTGTTAAATTCTAGTTTAATATTTGTATGTTATAGATTTTAAGTTGCACTATTTTTGTAATGTTGTGAGCCAATTTGTGTCTCCATCTACAGAGAAAAATAGGAAACAAATATAATAAGAATAATAATAAATTTTCCATGCATTCAGAGTATATCATTTAACCGTGTATAGCTGTACAAAAATAACACATTACCTGCTGAAACCCATGTTGACCTAAAGATGGTTCAAGTGTAAACTTCAACTTTGTGTCAACTCCTATGGAGTAAAAATAAAACAAAATCTCAATTACTAAAATGTTGATTTAGGAACAGAAGAAACTCTACATTGGGCAAACATGACCTCTTGAATGCCTCAAACATCAAAATATAGTATGTGAGAGTAGCATATCACTTTAGGTTCGAGACCAAGCTAGAGCGTTTTAAATTCTAATACAAAAGACTTTGTTCTTTTCCTATGTAACATAGTACTTCCATGTGAAACAAATAAGCTAGATGGCATGCCCCCCGCCCTCCCCAATGTACGACGTGAAGTTGCTGCCATTTGCAAGAGAAATAAGGTTGAACACTGTGAAAGCCACCCACTGTATGGCTATCAGCCTCCTCCCAGTAGACTTAAATCAAGGAAAACTTTCGTGAGAACCACCACTCCTCTAACTGTGCCTCCTACAACAGCAAGAATATCTCTGTGGATAGCAACATCAGGCAATTCCAGCTGGATGGACCCCCACGAGGGACTTCCTCCAGGAGCAAACCAAGAACAGGCAACTTCGAAGTCCCTGAACAGATTCAGAAGTGGAGTTGGCAGACCAAAAGACAACCTGGCAAAATGGCACTACCTAGAAGAATCCTCCACCTTGTGCGACTGTGGAGCAGAACAAACATTTCAGCATCTGTGTGCTTGCCCACATTGCCCTGCCTCATGCACCCAGGAAGAACTGTTTAAAGCTACAGACAATACAGCTGCTGTTGCCTGTTTTTGGTCTAAAACGATTTAGCTGCTTGTTATCCTTTTATTTTATCAGTTTTAAACTTATTTATTAATGCAATACTTTTGAAACGAAATAAAATAAAACAGAACACAGTTTCCTTCTTTTGAACAAAAAGCACATCAGATCAGTTTACAGAATGGGAGGTTTCTCCGCAACATACATGGACTCAGTATGTAAAGGGAGAGATTAACTGAGAGAACAAAGTTAGTAACATAAGCTTTCATAGACTAGATAAGTCTACTTTCTTAGCTGCATCTCTCATATTCTCATATATAGCTTATCAAAGAGAAGGAATGGTGGTTAAATAGGCGAGGCCAACACAGACTACTCATTTCCCACAGTCACCTATTACGCTGGCAATGTTAACAGGGAGAACAAAAGGAAGGCTATTTATCCCTGTCTGGCAGTTCTCCATGCAAGCGCTGCACCAATACAGGAAGCATTAAACACATGTCATCTAAGACTACCCAGAGCCCTGCCATCTCTATTAGGGATACACATTATCCCTGTTTACTCTCTTGTTAGGAACAAAAGCCTTACAAATCATCAAAATTACTACTCAAAAGATATATTTATTTAAAATTCAGTGTACTTTAGCTGAGGATAATATTTTCATCCACTTTTCTTGCAGCTACCAGTACCCCAAGACTGGTTGGTAATCACGTGGCTTTACCTATAACATGTATTTTTGCTTTATGAAGTGCCCTTCATAAATACTGCTAAAAGTCCTTTTCAAGCACTTCTCATCATGCAGTAATCAGCTGTGACAATTTGCATGAAAGATTAAAAGTAATTATTATCAAGTAGTATAATTCAGAATTAGAACTACAATTGTTGATCTGTTATGAAAAAAACAGCTATCTGATATTTTTTCTGTTGAACAGATTTGGTTTCCTCTAGCTTTGTTGAGTTCCCTAATTAGATTGCATCTGAAGAATTTTTCTCTTGCAGTGGAATATTATAATAAGAGAAGAAATGCTTGAAACAGAACTGCATCGGGTAGTCTAAGACACTATTCATGATAGCTTTGTACCATGGCTGCAAAAGTCCTATTTATAACTACAAAATAGTTACGCAGACCAACACTGTAAAGGTTTCCATTTATTTATTTGTTTATATATTTATTTATTTGAAACATTTATATTTCGCCCTTCTCACCCCGAAGGGGACTCAGGGCGGAGCACAACATACAAATGGCAAACATTCCATGCCAGGACAAAAAATAACTATAAATACACACAAACATTAAAATCAGTCATATCTACTTTAAAATCAGCTGTTTTAGGTGCACATTTCATCTAAATTAGTATTAATGATGCAATTCTTTGCAGGTTTACCAAACATTAAGTTTCACTGAATTTCCAGGGATATAAGTGTACAGCCTCATTTGCCAGGAATTGGAAAAACATAAATCTCAACATTAAGATTTGACAATGATTTGACCTCACAATTATGTGTTTTCTGATGTTAAAAAAAGCCAATAAGCAAAATAAAATATAAAATAAACAGCATCTGTTCTTCCAAAATTAACTTTTCATTTGTAACCAGTTGTAATCTAAATTGCATACATAAATTTATCAGGTTGACATTTTATCAATATATACTTCTAAGGAGAAGTAGAGATCACGGTGAGGAATTTAGCTTTGTATTGCTCAGGCTTTCCATCATTAGGCCTTGAACTGTCAAACTAATCTTAAGGATGATAAAACATTTGCTCTTATGAAGGACTCATGCAAAATATGTAAACTATGTAATGTATGCTCTCAAAAGTTGTACACTGTAAGAGTACAGGCCCTTCCACACAGCCCTATATCCCAGAATATCAAGGCAGAAAATCCCACAATATCTGCTTTGAACTGGGTTATCTGAATCCACACTCAGATAATCTGGGATTTTCTACCTTGATATTCTGGCATATAGGGCTGTGTGGAAGAACCCTACTTTTAAAAGGCTCTTCGACATAATGAAGTGTCGCTGTCCCACACTTAGGTGCTGAAATAACAACATCTAACACTGTAGGCACGGTAATATCGTGTAACGAAGTTTTCTATTGTGTTAAAGATTATATATCTTGACAAAAATTGTCATGTCCACTTAAGATTTTTGCCACAATAAATGTGTATGGCTTTGCTGCAAAAAGAAACTGAAAATAACAGGATGCACCAGAAGATGATTCTTATATATTATTTCTTCAGCTCTTAAAGGACAGTACTGTAAGCAGCACAGCATTTTCTCAATTTCATTAAAGCAATCATGACCGAGTGTTTCCATCACCAAACTAATCTCCAGAATAAGCTCAGTGATGACAAAATGAGCCTAATGTCTTGAAATATTATTTCCTGGAGGAATACAAAAACACCTCACAATTGTAGAAAATATTACACTTACAAACTTCATAGAAAATGATCTTTTATCATATGTTGTGGACATGTAAACATGCCAAGAAATATTGGATTCAAATGCACACAGTGATCCAGAAAATTTTAGGGGGAATCATCCAGCTAAAATGGGAGACTTTTTCTACTTGATCTGACTGATAAAAGTAGCCAGGATAGACCATGACCATATATCACCACAGCAGCCAGACTACACTACGCACAGAAATGGAAGAGTACAACAAAACCAACAATGGAAGAATGGATAATAAAAATGATGGACTTGTCTGAAATGGACAAACTAACAGGACTTTATAGTAACCCAGTAACATTCAAAAATATTTGCGTGGGAAAAGAAAACCTGGATTCTGTGCCCTATTTAATCTTCTAAGATGCCAGTTTGTAGATTTTATTCTCCCTGCCTGACATTTTGATGCTGCATTCCATTGTTTCTTTTGTGCTATTTCAATTACTGCGTTTTATTCTGTGAGCAGTCAAGAGAGTGTATGCTTTAGAAAATAAATAAGAAGCCTCATAAAAACAACATAAGACTTGCTTGAAAGACAAAGATACTATACCAAAGTCTCAGCAACCTGGAGAAGCTGTTTTTATTAAAGGTATTGTATTGTAGTTTGAGACCACTTTTATGGCTGAATGCTATGGAATAATGAGAATTGTAGTTTTAAAAGGTCTTTAGGCTCCTCTACAAAATAGTGCGAATGACAACTCTCACAATTACACTATAGACCAGGCATGGGCAAACTTCGGCCTTCCAGGTGTTTTGGACTCCAACTCCCACAATTTCTAACATCCTACCAGCTGTTAGAAATTATGGAAGTTGAAATCAAAAACACCTGGAGAGCTGAAGTTTGCCCATGCCTGGTATAGATGTACCCTAAGACACAATGACATTCTACACTATTCACTTTGGCTGAATATATGCTAGGGAATCATAGGAGTTGTAGTTGTAGTTGCCTTTAGACTTTTTGGGCAAAGTGTGCTGGTGCCACACCAAACTACAACTTCCATGATTCCATAACATTCAACCGTGGTCATTAAAGTGGTGTCAAACTACATTCATTTCCCCAGAAAGCAGGCAACCACCAAAAAACCCCAAAGTAAAATACTTTATTTTTAACTGTTATTATAATACAGCAAAACAATAAAAAGATGTTACATTAAGTTAAGTGTATCTTTAATTGCTTTTATTGTATTTAAATATTAATATCAAGTTGATACAGAGTTTATGGTGTGGTATAGGCCAAGGTATAGGCCTCTTTTTAATAGTAACTCTCAAGCAACCAGACATACAGTTATCCACCATCTAGCAATCTCTATGGCTTCCTTCTGAAACAAAGACACTACACTAAAGTCTGAGCAATCTGGGGAAAATGTTTTAACTACAGATACACCATTATAGCTGAATCAATTGAGTTTGCCATGGCTCAATGCTATAGCACCCTGGGAGGTTTGATTTACAAGGTTCATAGCAATGGTTCCCAACCTGTGTCCGCAAGAATGAAAATATGGTTTGTGACCTCACCATTACTAGACAGTTGCCTCAAAACCATGCGGCAACTAGAGTGACCGGTTTTACAAAACCCTCTTATAGTGCCGAGGCAACAGGGATGTTGTGAGAGGAGAGGTTGACTACCCAAGAAAGATTACTACTACTACATCAATTCTAGATTATTAAATATGGTTTTCTGCGAGCGAGCAGATGGCAACTACTGGATGGCATGTGTTCTGTATGAGAAACTAGAGCTGATGTGGTCTATCCAATGTAATTTTCTGAATTAGCACCCCAACATCATGTTTTACAACAAATCGACAGAAAAAAAACAGTTCAATACACAGTAATGCTATGTAGTAATTACTGTATGAATTTAGCA